TAGTAAATATTACCTAATGTTCAGGGTATTTTCAAAACATGTTTAATAGATAATTGTTGATTGATTTGGTGAGATACATGTAAGCCCTTCTTACTGATTTGTGCAGTTTGGTATTATGTTGTGCTGTAAGATCACTATACAAGACAAGGATGGGACTGAGCGCACGCAAACATGTTTAACTCAAGTCCCAATTCAGGCGCCTGTTAACCAGTGGTAGTCGTGTGTTGCTGTCTATCATATTTATTTTTCGTTTATTGTTTTATTGTAAATCTAACCTTTGAGTTTCTCAATTTTTTTCACAAATTATTTTGTATTTGTGGAGGCATTTTATAGCTACATTGTAGCTATATGGAATGGGTTTGTGCATTGTTGAAAAGCTGTTCGGCGACCTATAATTGCTTACTTTGACTTCTTTATTCTGTGGTGGATAATTGTCTCGTTGGTAATCAAACCACGTATCCTTATTTTTTATGTAATGCATTTGACTGGATTTTCTTCTGATTGATTTGGGTACATTGAAATATCATACTTGCTTATCCTAATTTTGAATTGACTTTAAAGAAGTAAGCTATAATAAAAATATTGGTATAAAAGTATTCCGTAAGAAAAGAAATTCGCGCGATACAATAAAGTATTTACAATTTACAATAATATACTAGTCTTGCATTATTATACCACAATATACAATCTTTCACACAGGAATGTTGCCCTCTCTTCCGTTATGATCAATTCATATATCCATTCCATTTCCAAAACCTTGAAAACACAAAATAATAATTTCTGATTAAAACTATCTTGACCAAGGTGTCGCATCTGTATTTAACGTTTTAGTTATCATGATTTGAGGAGGAGGTTGTCTGTTCTGAATGCTACAATTACAGTCATTGTTAGAAAAAAATACACGTCCTCATGCTAGCGTACGTGTTTACGTGTACGTATAGTTCTTCCGTGCGACCGACTGTCTCTTTATTTGTCATTGCTTCAAACAAACAAAAATGAAATTTTATGCGCCGAAAATTTACCTGGAACTTGAGAAGACAAAATAACTTCAACATGTTTTAATTCGTTACTATTATCCGCAAAAAAAAAAGAAAAACATTATCACAAAATGTGTCTAGAAAATAGGAACATTATTTATATAAGTGTCCAATGAAAAACTAGCAAATACAACCAGCGAAAATGTCAGAAAATACACTCATATTATTACACAATAAAAACATTAATGTTAATGAATAAACATAATCTTAAAAAAGAAAGTAATGAATGTGTATGTTAAGTATTGTGAAAATTAACAAGTTACTCATATAGCAAATCATTTATAAAAACATGAAATTGCAATATAAATAAATGTCAATAATCAATGCGAAAAGTGTTGATGATACGTAAAAATATGTAACACAAGCATCAGCCTTTAGGTCAATGACGTGGCAATAGCCATCACCAAATAAATGCAAATTACTCATTGAAAATCAATACAAAGTAACTTCAAAAAACCTTTCAAATGAACTGCAAAATGAGTTATAAACTTCTCAAATATTAATCTAAGTAAATGCAAAGTGTTTTATAAATGTACGCTACATAGAATTAATCTATGAATTGCACAACAGCGTATGCAAATTAACGTGTACAATAAAATGCAAGTTTTCAGTGTAATATGCTTATTTAAACAATTTTGTAAATATTATTTAATACAGTTTTCTTACCAAAACAGAATTATTTAAAACAAATGTTCAGTACATATAAAATGTGTTTAGACCTCATGTTATCCAAATAGGTATATTTTCGTTGTGGGGAGCAAAACATGAAGAACAAGTAAAATGATGATGTCTGCCCATACAAGTTAGGTCGTCCCTAAAGCAAAATATGATGTCAACAAGGAAGCCTCAAAGCCAAAAAAATTGAAATCCAAGACAATGCAACGACTCTACATCAGACAAAAATGACGTTTAAGTTAACAAAGGGGAGTGGGAGGGCGAAAGATACCAGAGGGACATTCAAACTCATAAATAAAAAATAAACTGGCAACGCTATGGCTAAACAAAACAAATGTGGCACCCGTCGTGTTGCTCATGTTAGTTAGTACAAACCGGGTAAATAGTATAATTCGGTAGGTTACATTAGTGAAAAGGGAACGGGATTGTAGATACGACATTATGAACATATCCGCTATCATCTTTGAAACGGATATTCCATAACGGTCAACCAACTCGTGATGGCGTCCGTAAAAATTACGAAGGGTAGATTTAACAACTATAGCAAACATTAAGAGTGTCATAATGTAAAAACTCTACAAGTGAGAGGTTTAGCTAGCTATAAAACCAGGTTTAATCCACCATTTTCCTCTTAAGAAAACGCCTGTACTAAGTCAGGAATATGACAGTTGCTATCCATTCGTTTGGTGTTTTTGAGCTTTTGATTTTGCCATTTGATTAGAGACTTTCCGTTTTGAATATTCCTCGGAGTTCGGTATTTTTGTTATTTTTACTTTCTATGTAAAATTAAAAACAAACATTTAATTTATTGTATTGTAAACTAGTTTATTATTCAGTTAAGTGATAAATTTCGTCTAACTTTTATCATGACCGTTAAGAATTTTACAGTTGGACATTTATGAACAAGTATTTTCTGTGTGAATCATAATGCATTCGTTTTCTGGTAAATCTATTCAAATCAAGTCAAACTTTCTTTAAATAAATCTGTATTATTACCATAATACAAAAAAATGTCCGAATGACATTGTTATATAAGGGTTATATAGCTTGTGAATACAAGCACAAAGAGATTAGTTATACATCAATGCACCACAGAATTGCATTCGTACCATAACTATTTTTACAACTTAATCGCATTACAACAAGAATAGAAAAACAATATTGATAATGGGAAAAATATGAATTTAATGCAAGAAAAAAGCGTCAATACTTCAGAATATCAGTTGAAAAAAATGATAATGATACTGAAAATGCATAGAAAAAATTTAGTATCTTTTCTGTTTTGTAATTATAATTAGATTTATATACTGCTTTGGTTTATTTTATCTTTTCAGATGATGTTTGAGATGACATTTCTGGACGCCTACATGTATTTTGCGAAATGGGCAGGTGAAGAATTCCGATTGATGTAATATAACTGTCCTCACAGACTGATTTACTTTGCCTCGGATTTGCAGAATTCGCTGCATCAAAAATATTTCGTTTTATAAATATTATCATTCACTACAGATGAACAATGTAACGGTTTTGATCCATCACCTGTGTTCCCACGGCGGTCCTTATTGTTTAAATCTTATCTCCAGAAACCACAATCTGTGGTAGTCATTTATATAATAATATATATATTTGACAGCACGATAGCCATAATCAGCGATCAGCCGGTAACCTCATATTTTCAGATATACCAGTGACAGCAATCTGCGGCACATACATATATTGAGATTACTGTGGCTGTTGTCAAATACTGCCAATTTGTTGTTGGGTTTTAACAAGCATCTGGAATTGCGTTATATGTATTTTTTGAATTGCTGATAAATGCAATGACTGATTAGTTGTATTTTTCAAAATCTAATGATCGAAATAACATGCATATTCAGACGAGAAAAACCTTAACAACAAGTGAACAGTCAGGGTTGTAAAGTCAAGGCCGAGGTGAAAAGGTGTATAATCCTGGGGTCAAAATGTTACCGTGTTGTGAGCGCGACACTCTCCTATAACATGAGGCATCCCATTTGACGTTCCAAATCAAACCGAAAGTGACTGCGATTTTACATTCTTCGATGCTAAACAAAACACCTCTTTTACGCGGGAGAAATCCGTTGACAATATTTAAAACTCAATCCTTGGGTCTTATCGCGATAAAACAAAATTTTCATGCCTTAGTTTTTTATCATTTGAACCAATTTAAAAGTGTACATTATAAATTTGATATTTCTTTAAAGAACGACACTATGTATAAATGTCAATAATTACAATTCTAATCAAATGATTACAACTTTTCATATTGCACAGCTCATTGAATTACTGTCAATAAATTAGTGCATTGTACAGTTGTATTATACTTCAACCTTGGCCTGAAAAAAGTATAGGATATCTAGGGACAATAAAAATCATAAATCAGAAGACAAAACCAATATTGTGGATTCATTTATTTGAGAAAAACTTGAATTTTCGTGGATATTTGATTTCGTGGTTTTGCCAAAGTCTGCATACATTTCTATACAACATTTGTAATCGTTGGACATTGGAATTCGTGGTTCCCAGGTAGACACGAAACCACAAAATATTGGTATTCAGGAAATAATAATGAAACCACAGCATTTGGAATATCTTCTCTACATGAAAATAAAGGCAACAGTAGTATACCGGTGTTCAAAAGTCATAAATCGATGCTTTGAATTTGTGAAACAACTCTTTGAAACAATTCATTTTTACATAACATTTTACTGTGTATTTTTCTAATTTAAAAAAAGAAAAGCATCAGTAATTTTTTCATAAACAATGGTATTAATAATGTTCATATATAATCAAGACAATAGAGGCTCCATGTACTCGTTTTCGAGCTAGAGAGCAAATTCAGTCCAAAAAAACATCTTTTCCCGATATGTTACATCAGCAACGTCATTGCATTCCCTGTAACTGTATCGCATGCTCTTATTGTTTTCAAAAGTGTGTAATATTGCTTTCGTAGATTAAGAAGTATATCTGATCTTTTTCAAAGTCATTTTAATTTTACTCTTTTTTTTCTCATTTGTTATATATTTATTTTTTTCTAGAAAATGTGTGTATTTTTTACATGAAAAGAGAGACAAAACAAGTATATAAATAAAAACAATAATAATGTTCACTAGGTTAGGGTATTTTTTATTGTCTATCGGTTAGAAAATTTATCAATTGTTAATTTTACGGATAACTGCTCTTTTGCTTTTTAAACTATTGTCTTTGATATATACCAATACATTCAGGTGACATATAACACGAAAAAAGAAACTTCTCATTTTACATTTATGTAAATCAATGTTTCACGAACCGGCACTATTCTTTAAACAACAATTTCTTTGGCATGATCGGTCATCAAGACAAATTGGTACAATGGGACTTGTAAAACTGACAATTACAATTTCATTTTGGATATTTATTGTAAACGGTATGTACAATTTAAAATGCTACATACCAAATATTTTTAAAAAGCGATTTATAAACATTTACAACATGAGATTATGCTTATTCATTTATCAATTGGTATTGTAGAATTGAAGCAAATATAGGTCTGGAAAAAAACATATAAGTGCTTTCTCTACTTTTCCTTTTATGTTGTACCTGAGGAAAAAAACTGGGGGGCATTTATGCATTGTTCATTTTTGTAGTGAATAATTATCTTAGTTACCTTGAATATCGAAAGAAATTTTCAAATGTCATGATGATGAAACTTGTTTATTTTACAAATGTTTATTTTCTTTTTATTGTCAATGGAGTCGTTATGTTTACAATGATAGAGTTTAGTTACAATTTTATCATTTAAGGGTCTTGTCCTTTTGAATACTACCAGTGCTCTGAGTTCCTTGATTTGTGTTGTCCTGATGGCTACAAATGTACTGGTAATACTTCTTGTGTAAAGAACCTGACATACACAACCTCATCATCAGGAGGGTAAGTCAAGTCTAATCATTCCGCATTTTTTTCTTTATTCATTATTTATCAATTTTTAAGTCCTGTACCAAGTCAGGAATATGGCAGTTGTTATCAAATAGTCCGTTTCTATGTATGTTGGTCGTTTGTTTTTGTTCCAGTTTAGTGTTTCTGTTTTTTCGTTATTTTCCTCTTATAGTGTATGTGTTTCCCTCGGTTTTGGTTTGTGATCTGGATTTGTTTTCGCTGAATCGATTTATGACTATTGAACAGCGGTATACAACTGTTGCCTTTATTAAAGATCAGACGAAAATGAAAACATGAAATCTTTGTTTTGTATACAATAATTCAATATACAAATGAGCAATAATCACCATCACCATCACCAGCAGTATTAACAACACACACACACACACACACACACACACTAGCATAATTATCATCATCAATTTAATTAATTCTATAAATACTGTATAAAATAAATCAGTGGAAATTTCTTAACTATATCACAATTATTTAATGTAGTCTGAAGCAAATCCATGGTTTATATTTACTTTTCGTCCGTTTAACCCTATTTATATTATATTTATTACTAGGGCCATTGCTGGTGGCATTTTAGGCGGCATAGTTTAATAGCACTCGTATGCAGCTGTATCTCAGCGGCTGTTAGATGTAAGTTTCTGTGTATTTTTCAAAAGTTTTAAAAGTTTGTGAGTTGTTTAAAACAAAAAAAGCACATGTTATAAGACACTGTTACGTTAGAAATATTTGTGCAAAAAAAGTATTTGGGTTTTATACGCACTGTTTTTATGTAAGTGACTTTGTATATATTTTGACAACAAGTAATATTGATAAACCCAACCTGATATATATATATCTCATAGAACAGCAATCAATAAATAGTCAAGTAATCATTAAAACAAACTTACGCGAGCTAAAATGTAATGACTGAGTCAGCCTTTCATGTCAAAATGTGTGGTGATAAAAAATTTGGAGTGTGCAAAAGCAGAGATAATTAATCAACTAGAGACCGAAACTTAAAAGATATTCATAAATAGAAAATTAGTAGGACTTCCAGTAACATATATAAAGATTCACCGTTTCAATTTCTTATGATTTACTATTTTCTCCTTTACAAATCGCACAGTGATGTATAAATACATATCAAGATGAGAATAAAGGCCATTGTTAATCCTAATATCCAGTAATATTTTTTCCAGCAAAGTCATAGTTCTACGGAGAAAAATAGTCGGCGGAAAGACCAAAGCCAAGGATCAATTACCAAACTAGATTACGCTACCCATATGGCAGCAAAATACCGCTACTGAATAAAAAAAACACTTCCGGGTATTATTAACTTGTATAACCTATGTATATTATCACAAATTGAATATAAAAGTACTTGTCTCGTACATTATTTGAATCTGATCTTTTCGAAACTTGTTATTTTATTTTGATGCAAAGACATTCTTCAAAGAGATTAAAAAAAAATAAAACCCTACCAAGGGAATGTTGATTCATAACATTTGGTTATCGGGGGAAAGGGTTGTTTGGGGTGGGTTTGTGGGTAGGCGGCTAGTTGAAATCCGTTTTTTTAAATTTATTTGTTTTATTTTCCTTTACTATATTCGTTACTATTTTGGTATTTTGATATATGTTCACTCAAATGATTTAGCTATTTTTTAAAGAAATAATCTTTAATATTTGAATGAAAAAGAGACGAAAGATGCCACAGGGACTATCAAGATTCGTAAGTCAAGAAAGAACCGATAACTTCATGGCCATAAATCTAAAACGCCGAAAAAACAACATTCAATATAACTTTTACATTTTATCAATAAATACGCTTTCGGTTTATTTCAAATGCATACAAAAGCCTTTAGGTTTAGAACTGATGACAGCACCTGTACCAAAAGTAAGCTTCTCTATTCTCAACATAGAGAAGGTAGCACCGATAATTAAATTCCAAACTTCCAAGCGATCACAAAGCATATGTAAGGTCAAAATTTGTTTTATCTCATCAATACATCCACCAAAGTCATGCTGGGATTAAAAGAAAACAATTAAAAACGTGTCTTAATCTAAACGAAAAGCAAACAATACCGGAAGGACATTCAAACTCATAAGTCGAAAATAAACTTACAACGCCATGGCTAAGAAAGAAAAGATAAACAACAGGTCACAAAACACAACATAGAAAACTAAAGACTGAGCAACACGAACCCCACAAAAAACTGGGGGTGATCTCAGCTGTTGCTAGGGCGTTATAAGCAGTTTATTACAATTTTCCCCACCTTAGCAGCAATATACCAACTTCACCTGCATATGGGATATACATTTCCCAACTCATTCGGTATTCAAGAGCTTGCAGCTGCTACTCAGACTTTATAAAACGTCACAATTGTTTGAGCAGAAAGTTGATTAGCTAAGGTTATGTCAAAGAACTCTCGTCCTGTTTCTAAAAAAGTTCATTGGAAGATACCGATACCTTGTTGATAAATATTCCGTATCAACTGTACAAAGAATACATGATGGTCTTGAAGTATAGATTCTATGAACTGACGTTGTTTATCATCTTAATTACGTGTTAAAGTCACCTTTTTTGTCCTTGTATATTTTTTTTATCTTTTCTGTTTATCCATTTTTTGATTATATACCTATGATTGATACATCCCGCCATTGTGTTATTGTGATATGGTCAATTTTGAGTTATTGTCTTTCATTTTTGCATATGTTATTTCTCTATATGCCATTTTGTCTTTCTTTGTTGAAACAGTTATTTGATTTTATAGAGATTAATTAGAAATAAGAAGATGTGGTATGAGTGCCAATGAGAAAACTCTCCATCCAAGTCACAATGTGTAAAAAGTAAACAATTATAGGTCAAAGTACGGCCTTCAACACGGAGCCTTGGCTCACATCGAACAGCAAGCTATAAAGATTATATTACAACGTTGACTGCTGTGCCGCGATTTTTGACGTTTTTACCTATTATGTCTGTTTGTTTTGCTCACACATTGTTTGTCAATTTAATGGGATTCTATGCGACTGTCATAATATAGGGAGATTTAGGTAGCTATAAAACCAGGTTTAATCAAATATTTTCTAGAAAAGGAAATGCCTGTATCAAATAAAGGCAACAGTAGTATACCGCTGTTGAATAGTCATAAATAGATTTAACTGAAACAAATCCGGGTCACAAACCAAAACCGAGGGAAACACATCAACTATTAGAGGAAAACAACGGAACAACATTAACACTGAACTGCTACAAAAACAAACGCCAACATACATAAAAACGGACTATTTGATAACAACTGCCATATTCCTGATTTGGTACAGGACATTTTAACAAAAATGGTCTGATATTCTTCTACACCTTTTTTGTTGGCGTTTTTGTTAGCTTAATGTGTATGTTTGTTTATATTTTTATGTCAGTTGTGTTTTGTTTATGATGCATGTTTACACAGTTTTGGCTGCTAGATCTTAACTATTGTCACATTAACCTATTATGTCTAATTGTGGTTGCTCACCAAATTTTGTCAATATGACGGAACCGTAAACCGTAAACCGGAGTGGCCGGAAAAAACCACCAACCGTTGATAGGAAGACTGACAACTCTAGTCAATAATGATTCTATTTGAGTCCAAAATTGTAATTATAACCTTTAACAAACTGTTAATGTCATTGTCTACATCATACATTTTTGTACCTTAATTTAACTTCCAATGGCGACTTCTAAAAAGGAGTAATTTTTATTTACAAAACCATTTATTGTTAAATTATTGATCCTTATAATTATGTGCAGTTGCATTTAAAGCCAATAAAAAATCGGTCTGTTTCCTGTTGCGTGCTCCCAAAAAAAAAATTATAAGGTTAGCGGTTAATTTCACAAAATAAATCACACGAGAAAACATACTTGTAAGTCATGACCATTTTAATACAACTTACAATCTATTTAGATTTTATTTCCATCAACCTTCAGGAAGTTTGGCAAACGTTACCAACTGTGCGGTCATCTGAAAATTCATTTAAATGGATATGATGACTGAATGATTCTTTTTATAAACCACCCATGGCCATCAGATCAGTGGATTACCGGTAACAAAAATGATAACAAAAATGTTGTGACCATTTATTTCTTATATTTTTAACACTCTTAGACGTGTCCATTCCACCCAAATGTGTTAATAAATCACAAAACGCCCGAACATGTTTAATTTCGCATCCCCTAATGGTCCAATTATTTACTTTGCCAAAATGTGTCCGAATTTTTACTCTCCATAACGTGTCCTACAAATGTTATTCGCCGAAAACTTTATAAAAACTTTTAGCTCTTACATGTCCTCAGTATTAATACAATATATAACGGCCTTCAATGATGTGAGGGGAAGAAACGACTGAAGACGTCAGATTTTTGTGATTTCAATTAAAAATTCAAGTCGCTATCTAAGGACATCTAGAAGAAAGATTTAGTGAACCTTATAGTCCAAGATGTGGTACACTATGCATAGTGAAATATAAAATCACTGACTTAATTCTGCTCTCAAATTAATAGACACCAGATAAGAAAAATAATATCACAATAATCAAGAGTGCACACTACGGAAGCATATTAGCGCTACACAATTTTTTTTTTAATATTTCTTCCTATTTTCCCGAAAATTAAAAAAAAAAAATCAACCCTGTTAATGTAGTCGAATTTGAATTTAATTCTAAAGCAAACTCTCGTTTGAGCATTGTGTAAGATTGGCTAGATTCAAAACCAGTTACCCTATTAAGATAAATATATATTTAAAGATGATTTTTTTTTTATTATAATTAAGTACTCTACATTCAAATTGTTACCCAAGCATCGTTAATAGCTAACTTACTATAGACTGAAATTTAAAAACCCATGATTTTTTAACAAAGAATCTTTATCCTATTCTGAGATTTCGACATACGATTTCTCACATCAATTTTTTTTTTTTATTCAAAATAATTCATTTCAAAGCCGAAAGATCATTTTTTCCATATGACGTTATAGCTTCACAATTGTATGAATTCTTTTTTGCTCTTTTCTACTTTGCAACTTCCCGTAAATCAAAATTTTCGAATTCTTGGCCATTCAAATCAATTTTTCTTTAACTAGTCCGGCAGATCGGTGACAAAATTGTGGGTTTGATGATTAAAGCACCAAATTTGGCATGGTAGTAGTTCTTGGTGTTTCAAACAATATTAGCTAAGGTCCACCTTGAAAGTTCAAAATGGTGGCCTTTTTCAAGATGGCCGCCATAAAATATCAAAATCAATATATATCACCTACAAAAGGTCAAATTTAAGGTCGAATTTGGCATGGTAGTAGTGCTGGGTGTTTCAAAAAATATTTGCTATGAACCCACCTTGAAAATTCAAAATGGCGGCTTTTTCAAAGATGGCAACCATAAAAATATCAAAATCAACAAATATCCCTTATATTAGTTCAAATTTGTCATGTTACTAATGCTGGGTGCTCGACAATATAAGCTATGAACCCAACTTGAAATTTGATTATGGCGGCCTTTTCCAAGATGGCCGCTATATGATATCAAAATCAACAAAATTCACTTATAGAAGGTTACAAAGTGTGTTGTTTTGACGTACCTTCAGTAAAACTAAGTGCCCTGTACTACCAAGTGTAACCACATTTCTATACTAGAGACAAACATCAAAAGATTTGTGAGGAAAGTATAGAAAATGGTTACTACGGTACCATTCTAGTAGAACATTAGTCCACAACGATGGATCACGTATAAAGGCTGGCGTTATTCTAATATTTAAGCTAGACTTAACTAGAATGTATACTTCTCGACTCGAACAGTTTTCTCTCTGATCAACTGGAAGGGTACAAAGTAATGATCTAAAAATTGCAGTAATCTCAGGCTGGCCAGGCCATTGACAAGGCATATGCTTGCTTCTTCTGTTTGGTGATTCTTTTTGTGTTGCAATTAAACAAGCAACCGCAACAATCTGTTTGTATGACAACGATACTTGAAAAAGCTGAACATGCAGGTAGTTCAAAAGACATGATGCAGGCAAAAGTCTTTTCAACAGTCATTAAAAATAATAGTTGATAATTGTTTGGCCGAATATTCAGATGCAGTTGAGTTATTCCATTGAGGCAAAAATGACGCTATCTATTTCAAAATTACTTTTGTTTTATTTCTGTATTCTTCTAGCTTTAACATTATATGCAACTGAGCTAAAACCATATCATAATGTATATAGGCCTTCTACTGGATACTAGGACAAGGAAAGGAGGTACTAAATGACAAAATGTACAGTTTACGTTTGTCGTTTATGAATGATCCAATTATTCATTTATCTACAGTACTAGACGATTCCATTTATGAAACTTTCAACATCGAATATGTGTTTCCTCCCGCGAAACCTGGTGGTTTTACAAC